TAGCAAAATGAAATTCAGCAAAGCGATAGAAAGTGTCGAATCGTATTTAAAATTAACTACTTTATTGAAATTATCTACTCTAAATGAACATATATATATTAGTATATAACATATGTAAACAAAAACATGACACGAACCTAGTTTACATAACAAAGGTTTGGAGCTCTAAATATGTCTTGTATCTCGACAACTGACATTTAAATTTTTGATAATCATTACCTTGTTAGATATTTGTAAAATTTGAAAAATAAATTTTGAAATTTTAGTTGAAACTGTGTCCATGCTCCTTTAATGTTTTCCAAAATATTTTTTTTCTTAATTTCATTTTTATTTGACGATGTGATAAAGGGTTTGATTCCGTATAATAAACAATTTATTGCATGACAGTGAGGGAGATATAAAGATTTCTTCGCCCATGAAAAATCATATCCCCACACGTGTTGTCTTCGGGGAATATGAATTTTCATAAGCGAAGAGAACTTCATGTCTCCCTCACTATCGTGCAATAAACATAAAACATTTAGAGCTAAGACTGACTGTGAAGATCATGTGACGTGGTGTACAAATTGAACAAAACGTCGTGCTTAATTGTGACTTCACAATGCGACAGAAGTTGTTACTACCGAGTTATATTGTTTACTGACCAAACGTGTTAAATAAGTGGTGTACATTTCAATTAGGCAAAAAGGCTGTAGCCTACACATCATTTTCTCAAAGATAAAAAATGTTGAATAAAGGGCTGGGGAGTGGATAATAAATTTTACCTATTAATTTTATTTTGTTGTAAATGACAGAAAAGCATTAACATTAAATAACAACTCTTTGTTCTCATTACATAATATTTCATAAGTGAAAAAATAATACATGCAAATAGTGTAAAAGAACACATAGGTACTTGACTTGTTTTTTGACTACTATGACTTACTATAAACTCAAAAATGTGGAAGTACCTACTGATATACATATATATATATATATATATATATATATATATATATATATATATATATATATATATATATATATATATATATATATATATATATATATATATATATATATATATATATATATACGTTTACGAACCTGCAAGTCTGAATTTTGAACACGATTACCCCCCCCCCCCCCCCATAGTGTTGATGTGAACACAAAAAATGGTACTCAATTGAAAACTACAATTATTGGCCCATTTTTAAGTGGCATATTATGGGGGATGGGGCAGAATTCATATTAAAATCTGTTAAACTTAATCATCAGACTTGATCTGCTGCATAACATGTCAAAGGTAAAATTAGAAATTAGTGAATTATTTATTTGAAATTTGTTTGTATTACTTGCTTGCATTTTCAAAACGATGTCAGCAGGATTAAAAATAGCAAGTTTTGGATGTTTTTAATAGTGAAAACTCCTTTGCAATACCAAGAATTACGCATTAAAAACCTAACTCATAACGTAATGCCAGTAGTTTAATCCTCACAGTGATCTTAATGTGTGATAATGGCTTGTCATCAAGTTATAAGCTATGTAGCAGTTAGGGTATATTATATAATATATATCATGACATTAATTTTATGAAGGACAAGTATATTAATGTACCTAATATATCCCATTTTTGGGAAAATGTCATGTTTACCGTCAGCTTGCAATCAACTATTCGTCAACTGAATCCTCGAAAACAATTGACCGGTTTTCTGAAAAGTTCAATTGTTTTGCATACAATTTTCTGTTGACCGTCAGTTGACTGCTTTTCACCGAGTTGACCATTAGTTGATCATGAATGCTTATACTTTGACAATTTCATGCAAGAAAGGAGTTGAACAATGTTGAACACTCCCACTATGTGAAATATTGCAGCTTGACTATATAATTACGAAAATGTCTAGTTGACCGTCATTTTGTCCTCATCTAGCAGTCAACTAGTCATCAACTGAATACTCGAAAACAACCAGTGTTGAACACACCGACTTTGTGAGATCTTGCAGAATTGCCTATAGTTGACCACTCAATGTTAGAAAATCTCTCTGACTCTATTTATTTTGGGATTTATAAAATGGCATTATAATTATGGATCGGATTTGCAATTCCATAATTATTACAATAATCTAGAATCAAGGAACGTGTGTAAGTGGGTATTTTGTTAGAAAGTGGAGAATTTTGAACTAAAACAATTGTTTTCATGAATGATTCACCTTGTACAATACATGTTAGTATAAAATATAAAGATTTTTCTTTTCTTCATGTTTTTCTTTAAGAAATTGGAAAGACATAATACTGGAGGTAGAATATAGGTCCCTACTATTGTATACTTGTTAAAATATAATAACTTGCCGTCCGTCCACTTTTTCTGCAAAGAAAATAAAAGAGCCAGAGCAAATTGTGAGAATCAGCACATTCCTCTCATTTTTCATGCATTTATACACCCATTATTTTGACTTTTCCTACTCAGAGAAAGGCAAACTGATTGCCTTAGGTTTCAAAACTCCTCCGTTATTTTTTGGTTTGCAACATGGACTGAATAATGGAGTATTCAACAGTGGTCAACTGCGAAGAAAATATAGGAGTGTTCAACAGTGGTCAACTGCAAAGAAAATAGAGAAGCGTTTAACAGTAGTCACCTGCAAAGAAATTCTAGGGATATTCAACTAATGGTTAACTGCACAGAAAATATAGAGTATTCAACAGTTGTCAACTGCAAAGAATACATGTATGTAGAGAGTGCACATAATAAATAGGAGCATTAAACGTGGCCAACTATATGCAAACGAGCTGAAAGGTCCTTCGTTTGCATTGCAAAAATTCAATTTATGGTGAATTGACGGTCAACTGACGGTCAATTAATCGTCAATTAAGGAACCAACTGAATTCTCCGATTGAATTCTAATAGTCTTTTTTCGTATTTGATAGCGGAAGTTTGTAGATATAGAAGCGGCTATCAAACCCATTAAACTCGGAAATATGAATTATAGGTATTCTTTTGCACATTTATATGAACTTTACAACGATATAATGCTACCTTTTGCGTGCTTGGAACATCGATATCACTTGTCTCCTCATCACAAACTTCTTCCTTCACTTCAATTCGCTGGAGTAAAAGCTCTTCTGTCAAAATAATGCATATGAATTTAATTCAATACACGCTTATCTTTGAAGCGGATAAGTTATTCAATGATCTGAATCAAAACAAGGATAAGCTAATACATAGAAATATGTAGTTCAATATATTGAAATACGTATATAAAGGGTATTTAATAGTTGGATATTGTATAAAAACAGGATTAAAAAAAATATTTTATCTTGCTTCTTAATCCCCTAGAAAATGAATATTTTTCAAACAAGTCTAAGATTTCCTTGTTCTAAACAAGGTTTTTTTTTCTCAGAATATCAATGCATTTTCCCAACAGAACACTCTAAAAATACTAGGACTAGTACATGTATGTATAAAGATTCATTCTAAAGATTTTCTTAATAATGATTATATGCATAATTCTTAGCTGAGCAACATGCATATGCTTAATTTCTGTTGCATAAACATTCTAAGTAACCTGCTTAGTCATTCTTAGCTAAGTGTGTCTTAATTTCAACAAGAAAATATTTTAACTCCTTTACTCGGCGAAAAGGAAAGTCATGGGACGACAGGGGGAAACAGGATAATCTGGGACAATGACTGGGGACAACAGGGAGTGGACAGGGAGGTCAGAGAATGTCAGGGGACGACAGGGAATAAACACTGATAACAACCGTGGACGACAGGGAGTGCACTGGGAGGTCAGGGACAACGATAGGGGAATATAGAAGTAGTCAGGGAGCGACAGGTATATGTCAGGGACTGACAGGGGATTTTTTGGACTCTAAGGGGATAATCACAGGCCTTTAGATCGCTTTAATCCGACTTTAAAAAATGGGTTGTTAAAATATAGTTTTTATACACCCCCATTTTTTTTAAAGTCGAATTTAAGCGATCCAAAGGCCCGTGGTGATAATTGACTCAGCAGTGAATGCAGAAGTTTTGCCTAATTAAATGATGCTTGTAGGGGATTAAGAACCGTTTGGGGAACATTTGTAACAGTTTTCGTGTCAATAAGCGCTATTTCATTAGACAACGGAATTTTCTTTCAGAAATGCACAACAATCCATGCTTTCACTTTTTTTGTAGCATTTTTGTGCCACTTTTTGAAATTTTCCAACTTACCAAATTTGCTAACAACTCTCTGTACATGTCCAGGCTGGCTACTATCAATTTCATCGATCTCCATTCCTACCACTTTCATGTAATAATTTTAAAAATCTGTCAAAATCAAAAGATTTTCAAATGCAGTTGGAACGTTTTTTTTTTTTAAATTCATACAATTCTGACATATTGAAATTAAATGAAATAATAATACTTCAGTTAATTATCAAATATACGATTTAGATACTTAGAAAATTTGATGCTTATTAATATTTATGCATTTTACACAAGCATTTCTTTTCAGAAAAGTTGTTTGAAAAAGTAATCACTTTACCTCGTAGGAAAAACTAATCTGTTAAATTATCGCATCTACTTTGACGAGATCTGTGTCCATATCTGTTATTCTTTGGTACGAAAAGTAGTCTTTACACACATTTACCCAAGATTACCCTGTTGGGTTTGAGATTTTAGTGTAAGTCAAACCCCATTTTATACTAATGTCTTAGTTCCTTAATCCTGTTTTCCAGCGAACATCCCAGTCACGTGATATATCTATCAGATGAACGGGTATTCCTGCTTTATACACATATACTTCCTTTTCAATAGAAATATAGTACATCTCAAATATTTTCTATAGCAACGATAAAATTGCGGTAGAACCATAAAACAATTAATTTTTATAAGCCTTTCAAAATATGTGTGTGAACGATTTTCAAAAAAAAAAAAAAAAAATCAGAGTCGCTATACATTCAATATTCAACAAAATATTTAAAAGCTCATCTCTATTGAAATCATTTTAATTTGAAACTGATATGTGTTTTGGATATGTAAGATTTCTTATATGTGGCTGTTTTTTTTATTATATTCATAGTACCGGTATTATGATTTCTTAAAATCTTTTAAATCTAAATGTAAAATGGATATTCTGAGAACTGATAACTTATGCATCGAATCATTTTCTAGGGTATACAAATTTGATTGAATAAAGGGGCGAAAGTTGATAATAAATCGTACCTATAAATTTTATTGTGTTGCAAATGTCAACAAATTATCCTTAGCAATCTACATTTTTATACCTATTCAATTATGTTAATAATTTTGCTTTATATTTAAGGACAAAACTATTCCCATAGCTGGAATTTTTTAAAACCAAAGTTCAAGTATACCTGAAATGTTTGTAAGCCAAAGTTCAAGTGATATTGATATTAAGTTTGTATCAGACATTTTCAAAACCATCGAAGTCAACAGGAGTCCATAATTAGTTCAGGAAATGAAATTGATAACAGAAAATATATTTGGTTAGTAGGAAAATGAACGTATTCTAGGAATTTTAATTATTCAGTAAGGAAGTTTCCATATTTTCTAATCAGAGTAAGAAGATAAGTTGAGTTCTCAGTTTTGTTAAGTAGTCTTCTTATTTCAATATAAACTGAAGATATGTCTACAATATTATTTTTACTGGTCAAATTAAAAATGTAAATGTCTGAGTTTGAAAAAATGCTCCCTTTGAACTCTCCTCCCCCTCCCCAATATCTATCGAGAAGGAGCACCTTGCCTACCTACATTTTGCTCCTAAGGTTAAAATTGTAACTTCGTACTAGATTACACATTAAAAGTAATGTAATAGGAGGGTTCATCCAAAAGTAGTGTCACAACCACGATAAAATTGCTACTAGTCGACGTAAATCAATGAAATTATACAAGATCGAAGCTATATTTAAAACAAATCAGTCCTGAAAAATTCAAATCAAAGTGATGTATGTTGTTCGAAATATTGAATTATATACAAAGTGCACTAATGGTAGTCGCCGCACCTAATAACGTCATATGATGGATACGCAACGTCGTACACTTTAACGCTACCCCTTCGTTTCATTAAAAAAATTTGAGATTCATGAACACATTCACATATATCTCTCTTTTATAAGAATTATTGGCACCCATTGTAATCAATCTATATATAATTTAGTCCTCTGTCGAAAGTTTTTAACAGTACCATAAGACAATCTTTCAGTTTCTCATATTGCTGTAACTGTCTAAACGTCTCTCTTTTTGGACAACGTCAAACACCATTGAACGTTTCCGCCCGACCTCCCCTTTTCGGCCGTTCTATCCATTCAGTGACCCATGACCCGTCAAAAATCTCTGAAAACATCTATAAACAAACGAATGTGTTTAAAATGGATATACCAGGGTAATTTATTAATGTTCCCCATGTACCAATATTTTGGTTTGGGTGAAAAAATTAAACTTGAACTGATGTTAAACATGATTTATTGCAATTAAATTCTGTGAATTTAATTTTTTTCCTGATTAGTTTTTAGATACCAATTAACTAAGTCTTAAATTTAAATTTCAAAATCTCATATATTTCTTTGCTTTATAGAACTCATGTCAATCAGTCAACGCCAACTTAGCTACACTATCATCCGAAAGAGAAAAAAACTGGATTCGCGATACGTTCAGGGGTATACTGAAGTTTTGAAAACATTTTTAAACTATTGTAATGAATAATTTTTCTTCATAATGATAACCAATTTGACAACAAAAATCATCTTCTGTATACCTGTATGTAAAATTATCCTTTCCGTTATATTTCTAAATAATAAAAACAGGTTCTGAAGTTTGGATCGATGCTACAGATTCTCTTAAAGAAGGCACGTGTAGATGGTCCTCCACTGGAAAATTGCTAACGTACACTGCTTGGAACAAAGGGGAACCTAATGATGCTCATGGAAATGAGAATTGTGCATTTGTTTTCTTTCCGAATGGAAAGCTTCTTTGGAATGATAATAACTGCAGAGAAAAACTACAGGCTCTATGCAAAAATGCAGCCTAACCAAGATGATACCTTATATCTTATATAAAAATAAAATGTATCAAATTAATGGTTTCTTAAGTTTTTATTTTGATAAAATTGTATCACTGTATCAATGGAACTTTGAGCTACGCGTAAATTTTGCAATGTTTTGGGACCTTTCTTCACTCTTTTGTGTCTCTATTCCTAGTAAGTTGCTTTGCTGTGAAATGGTCTCCACTGTTTGAATGACATATTTTTCTGTTCATTTCAAGAAATGTTATAAATCCAAGAAGGATGTGATACCGTCATTTAATTTATTTAATATTTATGTTTGTAAAAAAATAGAACAAATTTTTCAGAGGACAGTGTTGTCTTCATAGTGTATTTATCTGGTATCCTGCATGAAGTTATATATTCTATTTCATTGTGAACAGAGAGCTTCGTTAAATAAAAAAAAATTAATTTGCTCTTTTATTGAATAGTTGGTTTCTTTTTTAAATCAAACTTTTTTCAGAATTAAAATGAGATCACATGGAAGAAATTAGAATAGTTTTTTCTATTTGCATTGCCCATTATACAATCGTTTTGTTTTTACATTCCACAATAATTTTTCAATTTTTGAACAAATAAAACAAGTAAGATATGTTCCTTGATATGGTTATAACAATTAGATGAAAACAAGTTCTTTTGTTTTATAATACACGTAGCTGTGAAATTTTAATGCAATTAAAAAAAGTGAAATTTGATTTTAAAATATATTCATTAAGGTTTCGTCAAAGGTCAGCATGTCCAAAAACTTAACTTTACAATAGCTCCAAAAATATGTGGTTCATAAAGTTAAATATTCTAAAGTTTATAATTGGATTAACAGAAAGAAAGTATCATTTGGTTACAATTACTTTCAAAAACATATTTTATCGAGAAAAAATCTTCTTAAAAATGCATATATTTTTTCAAAAATTACACCTAATTAATTCCGTATGATCAAAGTCATAATTGCAGAAACAATATATGTTTATCAATAAAGGGCAAGTTGGACTTAGACAGCATCTAAGTTATTTTCCTAGTTTATTTTGTCCAAACGTGAAGTTTGTTAAACCGAAAGTACATTGCAAATGGCTGATTTTATAGGGGTCTTGTCTTTATACATGTCATGCTTTCAATAACAGCCTTTCAGAGACCATTCACATCCAACTTGCCTTTCATTGATAAACATATATCATTTCTGCAATGATGATTTTCACTTAAAGTATAGAAGCAGGTGCATTTTATTTTAAATATGCAAATTTCGAGATATCTTTTTTCCAAAAAATGTTTTATATATATGTATATATATATATATATATATATATATATATATATATATATATATATATATATTAGGGATGTCAAATCGGTCAATTTTTAATACTCGGTTACTTGAACGTTTTTCCGATCGAGTACCCGGGTACTCGGTAAAAGTGTAAATAAATATGAACAAGTAAATTGATGAATGTAAAACACGGTAAACACTTGTAGAAATAAAACCACATGCTCTGTTAGGAGGTTTACACGTAAATGCATTTCTGTTGCAACAATGATTAGAACTTCGTGCCCGACGAAATTTAATACAACAATTATTTAAGTTCAATTTATTTATCAGATAAACACAAGAAATAAAATCGTAAGTGGTCCATTGTGTTTTTGTTTAAAAAAAATAATATACTCCGTAATTGTAATGCAACTCTTTGTTGCATTTGACGTCAAGTTACATTGTATATATCAGTCGTACAGTTTGAATTGAACTTGACCAAGTTCTAACAGAGCCGGGATTTTATAGTATCACGGTTTGGTATTTTGTAGTTTGGTGCAATGATGGACATAATTTTTTAAGCCTTTGCCGTTAACTATTTGTACATGCATGTATTGGCATGTAATGAAACACAACCATATCAACAGTCGCGCGCGTGTAATATCATCTGTCTCTATTCCCGAGAAACTACGGCTTCTCGGGGAATTGACAAAATTATCTAATTTATTTAATCATAACAGACCTTAAAAGATGTTCAGTGAAAACAAATACTTAAAGAAAATCAAAAAATAAGGGTAGAAGACAGCCGAAGGTGAGAAAAGCCAGGTAACAGGCGCTTGGTCACGATAATTACTGTATAAACACTGCCACGGGCGATAACGGTCATTTAGAGGAGTAGGAAACCCTAATTACTGTATGTACAAGTGCAATGAGTATTTTACCTTTTAAAACAAATTGTTTAATTCATTAATAAATAAGCTTAGAAATATTCAAAAATATACATTCGAGTAACCGAGTACCGATTTTAGTATTCGATACTCGGACGTTCGATCGAGTACCCGGTTAACCGGGTACTCGTTGACATCCCTAATATATATATATATATATATATATATATATATATATATATATATATATATATATATATATATATATATATATATATATATATTTTTTTTTTTTTTTTAAGTGATACTTTCTATCTGATATTTCATGATATAATTATAAAAATGTAAAAGTTTTAACTTTACACCTCACATGGATTTGGAGCTCTTGTAAAAATAAATTTTTGGACATGTTGACATTTGACGAGACTTTAAACGTAAATTCGATTGAACGGCAAATATGAATGTCTATAATTGTTCTCTCCAAAATGCCTTGTTTTTCACTCCATATATATAATCAAAAACTGGTAGTAAATTTCACTAGACAAAAATCGGGTGCAATCGTGTTTCAAGAAGGGCATGCAATATCGCAATTAATGATGATGTCTTGTCTCACGGAAGCAATCATATTTACAATATATAATAAACCCAACTCTTTGATATAAAATATTGCTAAAGTACATTTGTTCAACATGTGTTCTTCTTTGATTTGTTTGTATATATCAGCCTTAATTCTACTGACTGGCGCCAAGTCTGTACCTGGGAAATCAGATTTACTGAAGGGAAAACTATGGAATCTACATGTCAAATTTCAGAAATCTGCCAAGGCCACGGGTTCTGAGTTGACGGTAGTTTTAAATTCTTTTTTTTCTAAACAATAAGTAAGAAATCTAACAAGATATTATCGATTTTAATTTACTTTAATTCTTTTAGAAAATTGACTTTTTTTTTAAATTTTCAAATGAAGGAAACACACTTTGAGACAAGGATAAAAACCATTTGTAAAAATTCAGGGTGTTTGAAAGAATTCGAGGACATCAGTGGTAAAAATCTTTTAGTTTAGGAAATTAATAATGATAAATAATGCTTCGTGAATTAAGTTTGAATTGAGTTGAGCGTAAAATTATACAACAGTGAATCAAAAACATTTAAACTTTTGCAATAAAAAATCTGCAGGAAGCAAAAAGAAGTGTCCTGAAGGCTGGAAAAGGTTTGATGATAACTGCTACAAGCTCCTGACTAAGAGTGCCTCTTGGTCTATATCAAAGGTAGGTGTAAGAAGATTATATGATAAACAATGTGGAGATGATGTTTGAATTTACATTTTTTATCTTTTGGCAAAGTAAAGCTTTACATTATTCTCAACAAGAGGTCCATGGGCCACAATACTCTCCCAAATATTCTTTACTCTTTCTTCAAAAGAGATAACTTTAAATGTATAAAAGTCTTAGTCATAAATGTGAGGTATATTTTTGACTAATTTTGCAAGCTACGCAAAAATTCTTTATATTTTACTTTCGTTATAATTATCGATTGCTTTATTACTGTGATTTTTAATGATTTACGTCTTGGTAATGTGTCTGATATAGATAAGATTACTTTTTTAAAAAAAAAAAACCATTTTTCTTTCTAGAGATCATGTCAAATGCTCAACTCAACTTTAGTTCGAATAAACTCCGAAAGAGAAGGTAACTGGATCTATAAAACTTTTAAGGGTAAGGTGATTTTTTTTTCTAATTTTATTTTAATATCGTAATGAATCTCATTTTTCACGGACAAACATTTTGCACAACGAGTTCTCTGTGAGACAATAAAGCCCATCATATGCAGGTTATTATATATGGTATTTTGCTACATATAAAAAAATCAACAGTTTAAGAACTTACGACTTTTCAGCTTAAGATGCAGTCCACCGAAAAACCAGGCAGTATTGTATAAATAGGCGGCACATCCAATGTGAGGAATATTTGATATTTTATTAAAAACAATATCAATGTAGTTCAAAAGGAATAATGTAATTGAAGATTTGTTTGAAGATTGCTTATTTAGTAAAATATCCTTGTGTTTTTTTTTTTTTTAATTCCCCTATATAAACCATTGAATGTAGGTCAGAAACAAAGAACTGTAATTTCCAATACATTTTTAACAGGACTATAATTCACACTTAACTAAATCTAGAAATATTTCATCTTTTTGTTTAAAAAATAAAATCGGTGGGAAAAACACTTTTGATAGTAGTTTTCTGGCAAAATATATAGACGTTTTTATGAAATTTTGCGATGCAAGAGTTATCTCCCGTGGCATCGGTAAATCTGCTAAACATCTTTTTATCGGAATCCTAGTGAAATATTTAGAATCGATACACTAAAGAAAATTTTTAAACAAAAAATAACTTATTTATTTTCAAAATATAATTCATTTTCGCCTCCAAACATAAAATTTAGATTAAAATTGGCTCTATTATTCAGGTTGAATCCACGTTTCCATTGATGTATCAGTGACGTCATATACCTGACCACTATTGTGTCACAATGAAATAGTTACAAGTTTTCCAGAGAAGTTTGTAAATTCTTTGCGTAAAAGTGTATATAGAAAAAAGATTATCAAATTGAAAATGTATTATATACACGTACAGCGTCTCAGCTAGATGTATTAAAACAAGTCCGTTTTGATAAGTAATTTTATGCATTTCTGAGAACTAATTGTTTTTTAACTGATTTACTAGGATATGCGTAAAAATAATCAATGAAGTTTTCATAATTAACATTTCTTATAAAATTGGGATGAGGAGATTTTATTTTCTTCTGATTAACCAGGAATCAATGATGAATATTTTAAATTTACGCATCATTTAATTCAACGATGTTGAGATGTTTACTTCATGATATTTGTAAAAACTTTTAAATAAAAAAAAACAATCTGCGGTACGTTTAAAAATGAAAAAAACAAAACAAAACAAAGAACAACTGAAAATTAAGTTATAAAAATATAATTATTGTGGTAAATTACTGCTGAACTCCCCAGTAACTGAAGATGGTTTAGTGAAAGCAATATGAGCTCCATGTTGGACATCGGAAAAAAAATTGTAAATTTGTAATTAACTATTTCATTGACAGGAAAATAGAACATTTATAAACTTCTGTTGTTAATATTTGCAATGGAAGAGCTTTTTATAAGCTTTGATTGAAGCAAAATTGAATTATTGTCGTCCTGTACAATAATGATTTCTGTATATTCGGTTGTACAGATATATTTCCTCTGAAACATTTTAAAACTTTATTTTGGTCTTATTGATCCTACGGGCTTAGATTACATACAGACAAATCATAATAACACATTTTATCAAAAAAATAAAATTCTCGAAAATGCAGCTCATATTGCTTTAAATATTTCGTTTTCTTTTTATTTTATTTATTTATTTTATAATTTGGCCATTGAAACAATCACACACTTACATTTAATATGGAGTTAAAACATGTGACTATGTTGGCCAAAATGAAACCCGTTTTTAAAAATAATGATGTCATGATGCCCCCCCTCCCCCGCTTTTTCCTTTCGATTTATGGACGCTTAAATATAATGATACTATATATGAAAGAAAATTTCTTATTTATATAAGATCAAATTTTGTTAAAGAGGAAAATGAAAATGTAGGGGGGAAAGACTTTACAGGTGGCAGGTAAAAAAAAAACTTTTTTTTTTTTAAAAAGTCGAGACTGTACATATAAAAATATTTTTTTGGATTTAGGCAAGTTTAATTTCGCCACTGATAGAATTTAACTCTTTAATTCCTGAGAGAAAAAAAATTACTTGGAAATAAGATTAATAATGAAGCTAGAAAGCTGTCTGCTCTCAGTTGTTGCATAATGCATGTACAAATACATTTTTTTTTTAAATACCGAGTATCAAGAAATCAAACAGATGTTTTACATGTAATCTTCATGTACGTAAAAGACATTAGTAATTTAAATATATACATTTCAATTTATGGATATACTTATTTAAAAAAGTTGACTGACTGAAAAGAAAAAAAAGACAAGCATATTTTCCTGATAAATTAAAATGAAGAGCCAAATTTAGGAAATATCTATTTTGGCGTTTATATTTCTCATGCGATACGCAAGAGCATGCTCTACGTATGAACAATTTATAAAACGAGGTCAAATGCTGATTGACGTTTTTTCATACTTATTGTTAGTCCATTATTTATACACTGAATTGACGACGGATTTTTCCGTTATTTCCCGATCATGACAAGGAGCACACGGCGGGTGTGACCGGTTGGCAAAGGATGCTCACACCTCCATGGCACCTGATCCCACCTCTGATGTTTTAGAGGTCCGTGTTTATTCTGCTCATATTTTGCATTGCTTTATTGACTTTGATATTGAATATTGTTCGTTATCTCCATATCCTTCATCAAATAAAAGAAGTTGACGATAGGAATATTAAAGTCATCATGTTTCTCATAAAGTTTAATTGTTAGTTTGTCGTCAATGTCTCTTTCTTGTATCATATTCAATTATGAAACAGATGTGTCAGGTTCTGTCGTGTGTTTTATTTGCAGTTCAATCTGACGTATCGAGTGAAAATGATAATTATCAATTCATAAAACCTCAACAATATAAATTTATCTAATAAGATATGGGGATGAGGAATAGTATTCAAGCTCAAAACAAAAGTCCATTGAAAAACACAAATCAGCAGCAAAGCAAATATGGACATCTAAAACATAAAAACTTGGATCAGGTGCCATGGAGGAGTAAAATTTCCTATCGACCGATCAACCTTCCGTGTGGTCCTTGATATTCTTTGGCAAGCAAAAACAATCAGGACAAATCAGTGTGTTTATAATAGCCTAGAACACTTCAGTCAGCACTGGACTTGATGAAAGAGTGTACTCGCTGAGAAGATCATCGTATCAAACACAGAACCTGCTAAATGGTAACTTTAAACATCAACATGTTTGTCAATAGTTTTCAATTCTAAGAAAAGGTATGTCAATCAGAAATTCAAGCATCTTTTTAATATCAACTTCGGAGTATTTGTGTGGAAATCAAATTTTTTTTTTACATGTAACAAAATAATTTTCAAATGACCATAGGCGAGGTTAGTAAAGCTACTTGTTCCATACCTATTAAAAAGCAGCTGCCTGTAATATCAAAATGCCTGGACTTTAATTTAATGTGGGGAATGAATATACATAGGCAATTTGGCCATATATGATCCACATATGCATTATCTTTCATATGAGGATCATATGTGGATCATATGTGGCGAAGTTGCCTGTGTATGAAGTATTGAAAAGTCGTATGTTTTGTTGTTATTGATTTAGTGAGTAGGTAAAAAACCCCTAAATGATCCTTGGAGTTTTTAAATATTCACATCTGATTTATACAACTTCTCGAATATACTGTTGCTCAGTATTCAGAAGTTTCTCCTTCACTGATGATAAAATTTTAGTGAGGAGTAAAGAAAGAAACTTAGTAGAACATTTACTGGAATCCGCCATGTTTGTTTGTAGCGATTTTTATGAAGTTTAGGAATCCAATATACATTTGGTAATTCAAATTCGTTTTGATTGTTGGGAATATTAAAAATATTAGCACATATTTTCAGCTTGTCAGTAAATATGTGCCCATTACCAAAGCTTTTCTCCTGAGAACTGTGCTTTAAAAAATATTGATTGGGATTTATGTATTCGTAATCCGGAAACCTGGACCAGAAATTATTAGTATCTCGTGCACCACTCTGAAATTACAGCATCAATCAACCAAAGCTGATGTTGTAAATACATTTATCTGACCACTGTTGCCAATATCTGCCATCCAATAACTTAATGTGTTTTTGATTCTATAAATCAAAGTGATGTTACAAAAACAAGTATAGGTCTTATGTAATGTATTATGGGGGTCTGGGTAGTATAAGTAATTACTGTCTTTGATAATTTAAGCTAACCTATGATTTAAAGAATTTCCTCCTTAGAAATTAAGGGGGCCGACTTTGGTTTTCATTGCGCAACATTTCGTGCATCATAGTAAAATGAAGCGTACTCACTGTTTTAAAGCAACTTTTTTCACTTGATTAGTAAAATTAAACAAAATTAAGAAATTGCAGGTTTAAAAATGTAATTACAATTTTATACAACTGATTTTTTAAACCGATTTTGCAACTGATAGGTAGGTTGACGTCGTTATAGTGTGTTTTTGACGTTATGATAAACTGAAGCTATTAAGAAATGGGTAATAAAAATGTTATTTAA